ATATATATATATATATATATATATATATATATATTTTTTTAGGTTTAAATATGTTTTTAGTCCCTCAAATTTAAAATTTTTGTTTTTAGTTTTTGTAATTTCAAAAAATCTTATTTTAGTTATTATATTCAAATTTTGTTCAGAAATTTATCAAATATTATTATATAAAATCTACCTATTGATATCTCTATTAATCACTTTCAAATATATTATTAGTAATATAAGGGACTAAAACAAGAGTTTTGAAAATTATAGGAACTAAAAACAACGATTTTATATTTGAGAGACAAAAAATAAATTTATTTTAAATTTGAGGGACTAAAAATATATTTAAGCTTTTTTTTTAATATGTAAAGTTGTGATAATAATCCAGATATATAATTTAAGTATAAGAAAACTAAAATATGAAAACATTAGCACATTTACGCAAGCTAATTTATCAAAATACTAAATTAAATTAGTTATTACGAGTCATCATGGATTTAATATTTAAAATCGCAATGGTCAGTCAAAATATTTATAAAAAAATCCCTATATAAAACCCTTTTCGCAATTATTTCTCCCAATGCCCCACTTTTTCTCCCCCTCCCAAAATTATTATATAAAAAAAACTTTCTTCTTACTTGGGTTTGTTTATTTTTTTCTTTAACCCAATTAAGAAGTCGCGGTCCCCTAAACCTAAGTTTTCAACTTTTTTTTATAGATTTTTAGAAAATTAAATTAAATTAATTATCAGAATTAATTAAGCCTATACTTAAAAAAAATTGTTTTTGCAATTTAAAACATTCAGTATGATTTATTTGAATTGGTACGACATTAGGAAAAAAATAATTAAATAAAGCAACAAATTTAATAAAATAGATAAAGTAATTAAAAAACAAATGTACTTAATTGGATAAAAATTTAACAACTAAAAAATTAAACTTGATCCTTATGTTCCGTTTTATATAATTGATATTTCTTGTAATGTGGAGAATTTTATCAATATTAGAGTCTCACATTGAATAAAATATAAAATTTAATGTGATACTTAAGCTGTGAAACTTTCACATCTAATAAATTGATCTTTTTGTATTAAACTTTGTCATGTACTTAAATACTAATAATTAGTGTTTTATTGAAAGTTGAGCTACTAAAAGAATTACTTAGTGTGAATACAAACTGAATACTAATAGATAAGTGAAATCATTAAAGAAAAAGAATTACCATCGAATCAATGTTCTTCATTATCAATAATTGTCAATTGCTTAGCGTGAATCTTCATCAAACTTTAAATTTGTTGGAGGTAATGATTGAAAATTAGTATAATTATCGATATTGGGTGGAAAAAAATATATCAACCTCCTATATATTTTGTAATTTGTATATACACATGGGTAAACATTCGAAAATTTGCCCCAAACCAGTTGCTCATAAAATCTTTAGCTATGTACGAAAGAATCGAACTTTCTGAAAACTTTCATTAACTTAACGAATAATGCGACATATCTTTAAAGACTAATGGGATGTGATCAAAAAGCGAATATGTGTGGGGATAGAGTAAAGACATAGCAATAGCTTTGGCAAAAAGCGAATAAAGAGAGGTTAATGGCTTCCTCTTGTTCTCAGAAGGTAATTTACCTTATGAATTTAATTGATATGTATATATATTGTAAATTGTAAATTGTAAATTTTGATGAGATGTATTGGTGTGTGATGTCTCAGGAAGATTTAGGTGGAACTTCATGCCATCACCTGACCTCCATATCCTCTGATCTGACACTCCCTGCAACAGCTGCCATCACCCGACTGAAAACTGGTTGTGCCTCTCCTGTAGGAGATTCTATGGATGTGGTAAATATAATGAGAGTTCATTACACTGTGATTATTTAGTCTGGTATGATCCTCCTACAAATATTTTTCATGCGAATCTTTTCAATAACCTCTCGGAGGAAATTAAAAAATTGAAGCTAGAAGTGCAAGCACTCAAAGTATCTGCAAGGGAGAAATTTAGTGCTTTAGGTGGGAAGAATGATGTGTCCACGCCTCTTTATTTGGAGAGTTTACGTGACCTTCAAAAAGATATAAAAAATTTGAAGGTAGAATCGAAAGTACAGAAGACAAAGTTAGAGGTTTTGGAGCGAAAGGTGGGACAGAGTAGTAGAGTTATTGACCGGGAAGATCGAATACTACAAGGCTAAAGTGAAGTCGTTAAATTTCATCATACTTTGTATTGTGATCTTGTGGAAAATGGGTTCAGTTGATGAAGATCTCTTTATAACTGCAGGGGAGGGGAGGGAAGTGGTTTTCCATTGAATGAAGTTTGGATGCATTTATTTCCTTTGATAGTGTGTTGCGGTACTGTATAATAATTATACCAGAGAAGGTGACTGCATGACATTGACATATGATAGTGTGCTGTGTTTCTAAATTCTAAAATTTAATACTTCATTATTTTTTTCCTTATTCTCGTGAATATAATATGGTAGCAAGAAAACTTTATGTTATGGAATCCTTTAAAAGTATTACATAAAATATAACTAATTCAAGTAATTTTATTTTATTAGAAATATATTTTAAATAAATACCGCGCCAAAGCTACTACAAATGAACGATAGATGAGTGAACCACATTATTTTTCACAGAAGTGAACGACTTTTCTAACAAAAGAAAGTCGATGTATTGCATAACCAATGTAATTTTGTTATATTGATGCTTATTGCCTATTTAAAGTTGCTGAAAATTAAAATCTCAAATATGAATAATTGTGTTTTTTAATTGAACTGAGTTAAATATTTTGCATCCAATTTTTTATTTGAATAGTATTTTAATATGTGCATTACACAATTAAATGTATATTATATATAATTAAAATTTACAATAAATTATATATAAATAAATATTATTTTTAAATATATAAACTATATTTAAATTTTATATAAACAAATATTTTTAAAAAAATGTAAAACATATTTCTGATTTATGATAAATAATTTATATTATAGAACAAAATTTTTTTTATTTATTATAATTTATTTTAAAATACTAAAAATTAATTGTTAAATAATTATGATAAATAAAAATTAAATTAAATATGAAAATAAAAAACTTTCTACTAACCTCTCAATGAAGAAAACTCCTCAAAAACTCTCCCATTAGATAGTGGTTCAATTTTAATATATAGGAATTGCTTCTAGTAACATCCAAAAATATTTTTATGTTGATGAGCAGTTTGATGGGATAATTTTTCTAATACGTAAAAATTGTTTAGAAATTATTAATTTATAAGGAATTCAAAATTATATATATATATATATATATATATATATATATATATATTATCAATCAACTCTTCATTCTAAAGTTATCTTAACATATAAGTATTTAAAAATTAAATCACAAGAATGAATATTTATCGATATAGGTAATTAAAATTTATATTAAAATATTTTAATATTCAACTTAATTGAATAAACATATGCGTTATTATGAAAATGTATTAATATATACATAAAATAGGTAATTAGTAACAGAATTAGATGAAAGCTTACATAGTCTGAAAGATATTTAAAATGGTCTCTGAGGGACTTTCTTCCCAAAGATGGCTTCCCAAACAGACGGTGAAAATGGTGTTTTCTTGTCCAAAAACTCCCTAACAGCTTTCTCATTAATAGCGAAACCCTTTTCTGTTAATGTTTTAATAGCACCCTTAGCCTCTTCGACGCCATTTTCCTTGCAGAAACCATCCACTAAGCCTACAAAAGTTGTCACATTTGGAGAATGCCCTGATTCTAACATCTCCACGCAAAATTCAAAAGCATCCTGTAATCTGCTACACTTGTAGAGTCCTTGTATTAGGACTGTGTAACTGAAAGCATTGGGTGAAATTCCATTACTCTGCATTTTCCTGAAAATCCTTTTGGCGTCATCAGCCTTGTGGGCCTTTGTGTATCCCTCCACTACCGCTGTGTATATGACAATTTCTGGAATAGTTCCCTTCTCCCGCATCAAACCAAAAAGTTTCAAGGCTTCTTGAACCAAACCATCTTTACATAGACCATCGAGCATAGCCACAGCATTGGGGATAAGACCAGCCTCCTTCATCTTCTTGAAGATCTCATCAGCATCTTCAGGCATAGATTCTTGAGCTGGTTGATTGTGATTTGACCTCTTTGCTTCTTCAGATTGCTTGCCTGCTGCAACAACTGACAGATTCACTGTTGTATCATCAAAACCAAGCTTGAATTTATCAAGGAAACTGTCTCCTGATTGGCCAACATCCCTATTTGTTTCTGCCACATTTGTGCCCTCAAATGCAAGATCAATTTGAGAAGATTTATTAGTTTTGTCCATTTCATCAAGGTCATCATGGTTGTCTTCAAATCTGGGAGGGAAGGAATGGGAACCTCTATCATATTCTCGGAAATGTGGAGGCTGATTAATTGGCTTCCTACCTCTCAAAGGCCTACTTGGAATTGTTTCTGACATACATTGTTCAACATTGTATGCCTCGTCGGTACAGTTGCTACTATTGTCTGAACCTGAGTCTGACTGTAGATTAAAAAAGTCATCAGATTCTCCAGCATGTTGTTTACTGTGATCATCGGTAAAGCTAAGATGGCGTACAGACTGAAGCCATGGTGGCAGATATTGTTTGGAATGTAAGAGGGAAACTAGCTTTTCAATCCGGGAGGAAGATACAAGATTATGAAAACCCCTTAGAGAGCCTGGCAAGGGGACCTGTTCATAAGTTGCATTGTTTCGAACATATAGTCAACAACATTACCCAAATCAAAGATTAAATAGAGCAAAAGGAAAGACAGGATGGATAATGGAAAAAACAATACGAGAAATTATCATGATAAAGCCCCTGTAATTTACCATCGGTTTTGTATTCTCTATTCAGCTCTCTTCAACCAGTGCTAAGATTAAATCAAAGTCACTCTCAAAATCCACAAGCCACCTAAATTGAATGAAAAGTATTATTAAATTATACAGTAGAGCCAATAATAAAAGAAAAAAAAAATGCTAAACTAATGTAAATGATAGAAATGAAGAAAAAAATATAGGGAAATTGTGGAGTGTAGAAAAGTAAACTTCCTTTTGGCTGGCGTTTCTCTTTTCCTATATGCTTTGTTTGAAAGAAAGGGAAGAAATTAGGAAAATAGAAGAGAATAGCTGAAAATTGATTTGATAGAAAATAGGTAAGAAATAGTATAGAATTTGTAGTTATTTAGTAGAGTGGAATTAGGTGAGAAATGAAATAAAAATTTTTTTGGTATTTTAATAATGTATTTTATATATTTAGATTTTTATGAAAAAATATATTATTTAAACAATTACATTTTTATACTTTATTAACTAACTATTTAAACAATAGTATTGGAGTAGTCTTGTCAATGCATTCTTTTTTGTTGAAAATTTCACACAAATCCACCCTTAAGAGAGTGGAATTAAATCTCCATAGACCCACTACAATTTTCTCATAAATCTACTTAAATCATCTCCTCCAAAAGCTAATGTTTTTTTAAGTCTTTGGCAATTCATCCATTTCTTTTCCATTTCCAACTTAAATCACCTCCTCCAAACATTTTTTTTTTAAATCTTTGATAATCCATTCATTTCTTCTCTATTTCCTACTAAATCACCTCCGCCAAACACACCATAACTAAAACATAACAAACAGTAGATGTAGTAAAACGAGAGAGGAAGAAATTCCACAGAAGGGCGATGATTTACCTGTGAAGGAGAGTCCCGGTGAAGAAATGTAAGGTTGAAAATGCAACTCTGCATAAGCACTAAGCACGATACCTAGCAGTAGCACAATATTTTATAATGACGTTGGAAGAATTATCTTTTTAAAATTATTAGAAAAAAAAAAAAAAAACTAAAGTCACAATACAAATTGTACGAAAGCTTATTCAAACCCAAATAATAAGAAAAACACTTATCAAAAATAGACAGCAATAACTCAATGTTGTCATATATGATAGCAAAAGAAAGGCCTCAAACTAAAAGCTAAAACCTTAATAGTAATAGCAAAAACAAATTGAGGAGACAAGCAGGGAAAAGGATCAAGTTTATCATTCGGAGAATATGTGTTACATACCAGGCGCGAGAACCAGGTCCATAGTTCTTGGGATGAGCTTTCCACACATTGGAGTGCCCCATGCTTCTGATTTGCAAATCTCGCAGTCACAGAAAAAATACGAAAGATGAGCACCGAAATCTTAACATACATCGCAAAGTCAAAACCCTAGGGCGTGTTTGGTTTTCATTCTCATTCCCCTTTCTTTATTTTGTTTTAATTTTTAGAAGATTCAATTTCAAAAACTCTTTAGTTTAAAAAATAAAATAAAAAATACGTGCAATAAAGTAATAAAAAAATATTTTCTTCGGATGCATTTGATTAAAATCATGAATACGTGGTAATGAAAGATTTTAAGAATATTTATAAATCTATTGATGGTATTCAATAATTAAATATTTTTATTATATTAAATAGATAAATAAAGGTTATATGATATTTTTATTATTTAATCTAAAAATGTTTAATATTTTTCTACAGAAATAATTTAATAGGAAATATAAAAGAAAAATATTTTCACAAAACAATATTTTGGGGATATTAGTTTTTAATTAATAAACTAAATGTAAAAACTAATTTTTCAACTTTATATTTTTTTAAAAAAATAATCCTTATACTAAATACTTCTTAAGAGTTAATATAAATATATTTATAAAGTGAAAATAATAAACTAATTATCGATGATTTAAAATAAAATAAATTATTGATTTAAGTACTTTAAATTATAAAAAAAAATTGACTATTCATTTTTAAACCTTTTATTATGAACTATTTAAAATTAATTATCAAATTCAAACTAATTTAGTTGAATTTTGATTGTATGAACATATTTTATTTTATTAAAACGTGATATTGTATGAAAGACAAATAATTATGTTTCTTTCAATTAAGATATGTAAAAAAAAATTAATTTTAAATTTTAGATAATTTAATAAATTAAAAATCGTTATAAATAATTAAATCAAATTATTATAAAGACTTTATAATAAATTTAATCATATATATTTGTTAGTCTATGTTTATTAAGAGTGACAACTACAATATTTTGTTTTTATTTATTATATGTCTAGTTGAATTCCATTTCTAATATTTTCTTTAAAAAAAATTTGTAGTTAACATATTTATCAATTTTGTAGAAAAGTTTTTATTCTTGAATATAACAAACTATCAAAATAAACACTTTAACAAAATTTAAAATATTAGTTTTATCATGCATTTTTTTTTATTTGTTCAATGTTGTTACATAATTACATGATTGTTGGAGGAAGTTAAAATAGAGAAATATGTTTTTCAATGAGAGAAAAAAATGTTAAAGAAAAAAGTCTTATTAAATTAATTAATCCACAAAATATCTCAATATATCTAAAATAAAGAATCACTAAACTCTATCAAAGAAATTAAGAAAAATAAAAAATATCTTAAACTCATTCACAAAATCAAACAAAAAGAGTATATTTTTTATACCAAATGTAGTAATAAATAAATAAAAATTAAACTAAAATCACAAACGCGAATTTATCTTTATGATTGAATATACTATAGTTAGTAAAACATATGAATAAAATGTGAACATAAGATAAATACAAAGATGAAGATAAAAATAAAATGAATAAAAAGACTGAAAGTAAGGAAAAATCAAAGAAAAAATAAAAAAGAAAAAAATGCATTAAGAAAAAACTTCTTCAAAAAATATTTTGTGTGAAAATGTAGAAGAAAAAAAAAATATTATCTTAAGTTTAAAAAAAATACTGAATAATAAACTTTTAGAGGATGGTGAGAACTTAAAGAATATTATTTTTTTATTGTAATTTTAGTTAAGATTTCAAATAATATTTTTTAAATTAAAAAAAATGAAAAGCAAATTTACTAAAAGAATTTAATTAGTTGAAATTTTTATACGTGTGAAAAATTAAAAAAATTGCAATAATATAAATTTCTATGTATTAGATTTTTGTTTGATGGTAAAGTGGGGAAGTTTGATTGCATAGAAGGGAGGAAGAGGGTATTGGAAGGCTGAGAAAGATTCTGGGTTGAAGGGTAATGGCTTCGTCTTCTTCAGTGCCGGTAAATACCGAAAACCTATGAATTTAATTGTGTTTAGTGTATATTGTAAATTTTGATGAGATGTATTGTTGGGTGATGAATGATTAGGAAGGTTTAGGTTTAAGTGAAGAAGATGGCTCTGAATCGGGATGGGTGGCTGCTAGAACTTCCTGCGACCACCTGGGCGCCTTATCCGACGATCTGAGTCACATTCCGACTCCTGGCACTCACTGCAACACGTGCCAACACCCCACCGAAAACTGGTTGTGCCTTTCGTGTAAGCAGGTTCTGTGCAGCCGTTTTGTGAACAAGCACATGCTCCACCACTTTCACCTCACTAACGCAAATCATAGCGTTGCCCTCAGTTTTAGGTATTCACTCTCATCACATCACATGCCTTTTCTTTACCATTTGCTTGCTTCGTATTTCATACTCATTCCTCCACTCACTTCCTCAAATAGTGATCTCTCCGTCTGGTGTTTCTCCTGCGACGCCTACTTGGATGCTCAACTCATTCCCCAACTGCGTCCTGTTTATCAACTAGCCTATATACTGAAATTTGGTGAGCCTCCACCACTCCTCCCATCAGATCAGCATCACCTTCCATCTGCAACTTCAGTTTAGAGTTTAGACTACTCTATTTTCTTATCTTATTTAATTCACTTTTGGATCGTTTAATTCCTTTCCTACATTTGCATAAATCTCAACACTCTAGTAATTAATTACTAGATTGGAAATTTGAAATTAAAGCTTACAAGTGGATATTTTACTTGATCAATCCCAATGCTTCCCTCTTGTGTTTGCCCCGCGTTTTATACCATTACCTGGCTCATCTGGGAACCACAACTCAGGTGCCACAATGAGATTCCTATGTTGTTGTCATAAATTACCTACATAATGTTGTCTGTTCTTAAATTCAATATGATTTGTAAAATTAACTCGTTTTTCTTCTTCTTTGCCTCTTGATCCTTTATTAACTCTGTTTTCTGGTAGTTGGCATCACTTGTGTGTGTGCTCAAGTTTATTCTAGTTGACCAACGGTTCTCGATGTCTTGTATCAGATTTAGCTTCATAGTTAGGAGAGTTCTGTTTCCTCTGTCTCAAGGCAAAGTTCTCAGATTGCTAAACTGTTATGCACTACTGATTTGTTCATCAAAATTGATTTTACCCAACTATAGACTGTAATCATCGGAATTTGGAGTTAAAATATGGGTGAACTTGTAGACAGAAGTATAAGAAAAAAGTTGTATGAATCTTCAAGTCTTCATTTTTTAATAATTTGGGTTGAATAAGTATGTTCTTCTCAATTTTGCTTTCCCCAGACTAAACAAGTGATTATATAAGTAATGCTGATTAATGATTATAATTATAGTCGTAGAGTTATTAAGTATTTTATTTTGTGAAAACAAAAACTAAAAAAAAATCTGAACTAATGTTTGGTAAATGAACTATTATTTATGTATATATACAATTTTGTCCCAAGAAGCACAAAAATAAAAAATAAAGAAACTCTACTTAGCTTTGCAGGTAAACATTCACTTTCCCTTAATACGATAAAATGGAATTGATTTACCTGCAAGACAGTATTTGTCATGAGGCCACGGGAATAAGCCAATAACTAATAAGCTACGGTGCACCAACAGATCACTAGACTAGATATCAAGTCCTCCCTTAATCTTCTTGGCCTCCTTTTGAATAAACCATTTCTGTACCTTTATTTTTGGAAACAACCAACGACAAAGGGATTCAGAAGAAAGATGTGAATTTTATAGTTGGTTTTTAAATTTTATAGTTTATCTTTGACAGATGAATGATTATATGAATGTAATTCAATTCAACCAAGTTTAAAATGGGGTTTAGTTAAATGCAAATGCTATGTTGAGTGGAGACTAATTGAATGAATGACCAAGTTTCACACATCCTGTTATCTTGTCTGAATCAGTTATCTCACTGTGATAAACTTCTTTACTTCTGTACATTGCCTACTAGTTAGTTATTTTGACACTCTATTCTATTTTTGTCAACTTTGTTTGGTTCTTCAGTTCTGCCTGTTTTGATTTATCTAATCGATGGGTTAATCTTTATCCAATACTCTATTTGTTCTCTATTATAAGCAACAACAAAAAAAAATAGTTATATATATTAAAATTTATCAATTTCATAATTTTCTTTCTAAATTGTTATTAAAGTTATATATAATTTTTATTTTATTATTATTTTTTAAAAAAAACTTTTAATAGAGGATAAAAGGCAGAGGGAATACTTAAGAGTGAGACCCATCCAATGTCCTGTTTAGGGTTTACTTAAGAGGGAATACTTAAGAGTGAAACCCTAAATATTACCAAAATCTTATAAATATTGCGGTTTTTATTTTTAGCATTTCCAATTTTCTGAGTTTCTGAATTATGCAATGTTCCTATTTTTGCTTTTCATCTCTACAAATATAACTTTTTCATTTTTAATTTCTTCAAATATAACTTTTTTTTTATATTTAGCCGATGTGACTTAAATAATGTAAGTGGGTTTCTACTCGACGTCACGTTGAGGATTAAAATAGGTGACAATGTTAATTGCAAGGATAAAAAGGTGACACAAAATGGATGTATTCTTTTTATATATTCCAAACAGTACTGTGCTTCTGTATATTTTTTTAAAATAAAATAAATAATAAAAATTTAAAAATAAAATAAAAGTGAATACTTAATTATAAAATAATTTCAACAGTTTTTGGGTAGTTTTAGTTGCAAGGGTATTATTTTCTTGAAAAATGATGGAGAGGAAGAGTAATTTGATATCTAGTTCAATTGTTCATAAAATGTGTACACCAAAAGAAGTAATTATCTTTATTAATTATATAAATTATGTTTTTTTTAATTCACTGAGAAGTATTTGGATTTAGCAGACATTGAATAGGTAAACATATTTGTCCAATTTGAGTTTTTTTTTTTTTTTTTTGCATTTTCAAAAGTTAAGATTCGAATAAATACTTTACCATCCACATATTTTAAACATGAAACTCAATTAATCCACTGGTATCAAATTAAAGAAATAGCAGCTTGATTAGTCCATGACGATAAACAAGAATATTTTACAGCAAGATTTTGTCACGTTTGAGTTTTTATTTTCTTGTATTCTATTTTATTTTTAAAAAATTTCTCACTGTTTTTTCTTTTTCTTTTAAACATAATTTATTAAATTTATATTATATTATTTTTTTATGATATATTTGTCAGTTTATATCGAAAGATTTAAACTCATTTATTTAAAAATAGTTGGTTTGTTTTATTTAACATATTTTATAATTTGTTCACTCTCAATCAAGTATTTTTAATGTTTTCTTTTTCCTCCTTTTTACATGTGTATCCTACATATAAAAATAATCCCCGTGATTTAGAAAAAAGCTCTCCTCCCATCATTTCAAAACACTCTTCTTTCGTAATTTTTTTTATGTATATTTAAAAGTGTTTATTTTTTTTAATCTACTATTTTATTTTAATTTTAAATTTACTTTTTTAAAAAAATATTAATAATTGAAAATAAATTTATATTGAAATTTAAACTATTTATTGTATATAAAAAATATAATATATATAAAATAAACATGTATTTTGTATAATACATAATTTAAATAAATAAAACTATAAAAATATCATACTTGGAATAGAATAGAATAGACCTTTTTATTATAATATTATAAAATATAAATAAATTTACTAAAATATCATACTTTAAAATATATTTGCCAAAGTGCTCTTTATGTTCAGAAATTGGTCTTTCACTAACCAATTTCTTACATTAGTTTTTCATTTTTATTTTATTTTTCATTAAGAATTTGATTAACCAGTAATTAATTTTTTAATTGTAGTTTTTTTACAAGATAATTTTTTTTGTAATATTATTGTTTTTATGTAATAGATATTTTGTATTTATTTTATTAGCTTAAAAAATAGTTAATATATAAATAAATTCATAAATTTTATTTTATAACTTAATAGTTTGGTAAGAAGAGGTTATAAATAATTTATAAATATATAATTTCATTAAACAATATAAATTAAAAGTACACATACATTATTGAAACAAAAAATTTAAAGTACATTATCAATAAATAAATATATATATATATATATATATATAAACATAGATAAGTAACTTTGACACATATTTGGAAATCAAATTTATAATGTACATCACTTATAAGTCGAATATAAATGAAAAACATAGATAAATAATTTTCATCGATACTTCCAAAACCAAATTTATGGACAATAACTAATAGTGTTGGTGCTCACTCGCACTACATATGTTTGAGTTTGACAAAAGTGATATGCATTTCCTAGTACAAGAGATGCTTAATCCATGAAAAAGAGAATCGAGTAGATAATTCACTGATGAAATGTGGCGTAATTGTTGCGAATTTCAAAAATTATACTTGTCTTACTGGCATGTTATTTGTAATAATTCGATGAGTCTTTACACTTTATAACTTGACAATTAAACAATGAAAAACAAAAATTTAAATACTTAAAGATTAATATGTAATCATTCCTAGACATGAATAATAAATATATTTCAAATATGATATTTTGGTAAATTTATTATTTTAAAAAAAAAAAAAGTCAATAGGAAAGAGAAAGAAGCCAAGGTGCGTGAAAGTGAAGGTTGGAATGGGATCTGATCTGAGTTTGCAGTTTGCAGGCATGGATGGATCTCTTAAGATGCGAATGAGTGGAAGTATATAGATGAAGTGTTGATGGGTGAAGAGGGCAACAAAGTAACGCTATTGCCTCTGATAGCTCTAATATTCTATGAAGTATCTGGCGGTCCTTTCGGAGTAGAGGATTCAGTGAGGGATGGAGCTGGTCCTCTTCTATCGTTGCTTGGTTTCTTCTTTTTCCCTCTCATATGGAGCATACCAGAAGCTCTCGTCACCGCTGAACTCGCCACCACCTTCCCTCTAAACGCTGGATACGTTATTTGGATATCCTCAGCCTTTGGACCCTTCTGGGGCTTTCAAGAAGGCTTCTGGAAATGGTTCAGCGGAGTCATGGACAATGCCCTCTACCCCCTTCTCTTCCTCGATTACATCAAGCATTCATTCCCAATCTTTCAACGAACCACTGCTCGAATCCCTGCCCTTCTAGGAATCACCCTTTCTCTCACTTATTTCAATTACCGCGGCCTTCACTTTGTTGGCTTTTCTGCTGTTTTTCTCGCCGTCTTCTCACTTTCCCCATTTCTCATAATGGCCTTGCTTTCCATTCCACGCATTAGGCCCAGCCGTTGGCTTCTTGTAGATTTTCGCAAGGTTAATTGGCGGGGATACTTCAATACCATGTTCTGGAACCTAAATTATTGGGACAAGGCAAGTACCCTTGCAGGAGAGGTTCAAAATCCCAGCAAGACGTTCCCAAAAGCACTTGTTGGAGGACTTCTTTTGGTGCTCTCCTCATATCTCATTCCACTTCTTGCTGGAACTGGTTCTTTGAGCTCCTCGCCAACTGAGTGGACTGATGGTTATTTTGCACAAGTGGGGATGCTCATTGGTGGCTCCTGGCTCAAACTCTGGATTCAAGCCGCCGCTGCTATGTCTAACCTTGGCTTGTTTGAAGCAGAAATGAGCAGTGATGCTTTTCAGCTTCTAGGGATGAGCAAGATAGGAATGCTTCCAGCTGTATTTGCTTCAAGGTCAGAGCTTTTTTCATGTCATGTCTTCCCTTTAAAATAGTTTCCCTTCTTTCTCTTTTCCAAAATATTCTCATGAGTTGAAACTCAAATTGGTCCCTTTACTGTTATATTAGTCTCTAAAACTAAGAAATTGTTAAATACATTTTTGAAACTGCAAATTCACAATCATATTAGTTTAAAACTCAAAATAATGTGTGATTAAAGTAATAATATTGATATATATTCATGACAATAACAAGTTAAATATAAGGATTTAGTTGACAATTTCTTACTTTCAAGGACCAGTGTGACGGTGTATTCCAACCAAAGTGAATTTTTTTTAGTAATTCCATCCAGACATGCACTTAATTGGAACCTAGATGGAAATTTCAGTATTAACATTAATTGTGAAAGTGTTTTTTATGTGGTACTATATGCCTCTAGGTCTAAGTATGGAACGCCCACTGTTAGCATTTTGTTCTCTGCCACTGGAGTTATCTTCTTGTCGTGGATGAGCTTTCAGGAAATCATAGAGTTCCTCAATTTCTTATATGCTGTAGGAATGCTTCTTGAGTTTGCAGCTTTTGTAACTTTGAGGGTGAAGAAGCCAAATCTTTATAGACCGTACAGAGTTCCATTGGGAACATTTTGGGCTACAATGCTCTGTTTGCCTCCTGCTTTGTTACTTATTCTTGTAATGTGTTTGGCTTCTTTGAGAACATTCTTTGTGAGTGGAGCAGTCATTCTCCTGGGGTTTATCCTATACCCTATCTTGGCTCAAGCCAAAAGTAAGAATTGGATTCTATTCGAAACTGAACCACCTTCCTTACATTCCACTGGATGGCAGCAATGCCATTCAGTTGTGGAAGAATTGACTGAAACTAACCAAGAAAATAAGGTCGTAGAGCTCTGTGTGGAAGAAGAATTGTCTTTAATGCAAAGTGATTCTAAACCAAGTTAGCAGGATCTTGTCTTGACATAATTTTTGACAACAATTCAACACAAGTATATGACGTGTTTGGCTGTCTTGGACACTGCTGAGGTTGCCGGAAAAGGGGCGAGATTTTTTTGTTATGCTAGAGCTTATTAATTCCAATACGGAGTAGAGTTGGAAGTTGGAAATCTTGGTGTTGTAAGTTGTAACTTATATTTAACATTTATGATTTCTATCAATTATACAAAGAATTGTAGTTATTTTCATCCGTTGAAGATACTTGAATTTAGTGAGAGATTTCCTTTAGAAGCTTATTTCTAATAACGTAGCAACATGTAAATATTGTCCAATAACCTGTCAGATCAGTGGAGAATGGAAATTCCAATGCATGATATTTGAATACATGTTTTTAGCAGAAGTTGGAGAAAGAGGGTTTAACTGCAGTCTGCAACAGGGGATTGAACAAAACAAACCTAAGGAATAATATGCTGTAATGGTTGATTAATGGAAACCAATGATAACTATCATAAATTAGATATGAGTGTTGGATGGTCTGAATGTCTGATTGAAGAGCAGGCATAAGGAGATAGACCGAGGATTAGAGTACATCAAAGACAGCGAAACACATTCCTTCTAGGCTGATATTTCCAGGAATCTGGCCAAAACACAATTTGCACCACTCTCTAGAAAGGTAAGAACGATTAAAGAACACACTCATTAAATAGGTCAGGTGTGATAAACTCTTTCATGTTATCGAAGCACACTGGATTCTTAGGTTCAAACTGAACTCGGAAAGTTTCTAGGAGGGAGTGTGTTCCCTAGGATGAACATATTGGATTAGTCGATTCTAATGTATTTCAAGCTTGATGTTTGAGAGACAGGAGTAAGTGCCTACGTCATTTATGGTAATCATACATTTATGATACTACTTGTTGCTCAAATAAAGACAATTTCTTCTTTGTTGTAAAAGGAGTCATGAGGAATCAATCCATTCAGCTTTAGGCCATTGAATTTGTTCTGAAACAAATGGAATAAATATATAGGAAATCTAATAGCTTCAAGATGGCCATAAAGTACATAATGAGGAGCTGAATAAATACACAAGTAGAGAGGGAAGAGAGTTACTTTGAGGAAGAGCACTTTTACTTTGGTAAATTTTACCTACAACAATACTTTATTTTACTTATGCATTTGATATATTTTTTAAAAAATCATAGGTATTATAAATTAATATATAATAAGCAAAAATTGAAATTCAGGTTCAACTACTCGATAATAAAACAACTAGAAGTTATTATCCTTCCTCTGGTAATTATTAATTAAAACAATGAAAAATAAATATTTTTTAAAATGGAAATTAAAACTGCTATCTATTAACTGTCCTGACTAATTAATAATTTATTACTCCCTCATGTCTTTTATATAAAATCCAAATCATAAGTGTTTTCTTTTATAAAAAATTAATCTAAAATATGTCTTGTATTATTATTACTAATTAAAAATACTCTTAATTAAATTTATTAATCTTAATCAAATAAATAGTTGTGAAATAAGTGTATCGCTAATAAGAATAATTGGTGGAGTAAGTGTTTCATTAAAATAACGTCCTGTGTAAACTACACCTCACGAGCGTAAATGAGAAAATCAAGTGTATGGACAAGAAATAATAGCCAACATCCTTAGTAATGAGAAAAACTAAGGAGAATTTTGTTACATGATAATTTTTGAGCTTGAGTCATAATTATTAGGAATAATAAAATTTGGAAATCATGATTTTAAAAAATGATTAACATTTATTTGGTTGGTCATTATATGTTTATAAGAATATTTAAAAATGTTACTTAATAATCAAATAATTTTGTTGCATTAAATAGACAAATAAATATAATATAGTTTTTTCAAATATTTTTATTGTATTAAATAAAGAAATAAAGGTAACATAATATTTTTATTAGAATAAGATTCTTCATTTAACTCAAAAATGTAAGATTTCCACTTATTCCATGGGACGAATTCATAGAAACACAGGTAAAAAAAATTCTTAGAGAAAGATATTTCATAAGAATCTTACTTTTTTTAATTAATAAACTAATGGTAAAAAATTAATTTTTCCAACTTCGGATTCTTGGCAAAGTCGATCCAATACATAGTTAGGTTTAAAGCAAATCTTAAAGGGAGATTTTTTAAAAATTGACAACAATATCTTTTAATAAAAACTAAAATATTTTAAATATGAATTTTGAAAAAAAGTATATTTGTATATTTTTTTAGAGATGAACCTTTTAGAGTGAATTTTAAAGAATATAAAAAGTGTTTTTTAAGTTATAGACCTTAAAAAAAATATAAACATTAATGTAAAATAATTTTTTTGGAAGAAATTTAAAGTAAAAATTTTATTGGCTTCATATTTGGACCGACTATGATTCTTAAAAAAGTAAAAACATAACCAATTGCTTCCTAAGTGATATAAAAATTCTCATAAGTATTATATATTATTTACCTACACAAATGTCATGAAGCATGATTATATTCATTCATTTTTTACCAAAGTTCATTAATTTTTAATTTTAATTTATAAAAACATATTATTATACTTAATTATATTAATTAAGGTCTTTGTAATAAGTAAGAACAAGTATATATTATTATTAAATTATTTAATTAAATATTAAATGAATTTTTATTTATATATTGAGGAAATCAATTTATTAAATTTTATAGAATGTTTTTTGTAGTAATGAATATTTTTAAAATTAAGGAAAATTTTATTATTATTACAATTTTTTAATGAATTACCAAAAATATGTACGGTAATAATTATATATCCTAATTTGAATTAATTGATCACACTGAATTAGATAAAAATAAATTTTAATTTATTTAGATACAAGAAAATAATAAATTATTTAGGTAAGAGGGAAACAAATCAGAATATAAATGTACATTTTTAAAAAATTAATTAATATTAAATGCAATGTTATGATCATTACTAGTTTAGACATTATTGTACTATTGTAAAAAAGAAAAGGGCATTTGTGTACTTTCATGAATTATATTGATCCATGTCTTATTATTATTATTATTATTATTATTATTATTATTTGTAATCCGTGTCAATCCACTTGTATATGAATATCAAAGTTTATAATAAAGTTTTATTTTTCCTATACAAAAAGTTATTTTTATTTAGAGATGTAAATATATATTGGAATTATAGACTTGAAAAATTAATTTGAATTTTTTAAATTAAAAATTAGCAATACAACAAATGAAGGATATTGATTATGTTAAATTAAATTTTTAGTCTTTTATATTATCTTAAAATTTATTTTAATTTTTTTTTAAATTATTTCAATCTTTTATCTTTTAAATACAAATCAATTTGATACTTTTAAACAATGACCATTTTTAATTATGTGACTTGATTTTGATTTTTTTATTAATTCAATATGTAATTTTTTTTATTAGATTATAATACCACAAAATTATAATAATAATGAATTTGCCTCTTATAAAGAGAGTTTTTCACTTTTGAGAATAAAGTGTAAATAATATTTTAGCATGAAAAATACAAAGACATGTTTATTATATATAATATAATTAAATTTTATAATAAATTATATATAAATAATACTGTATTTGAATATATATATATATATATA